TAAGATTTTGAATAAAAACGTGTTCTGATCGTAGATACATTTATAACAACGTGGACATTTCCACTACTGGGTTTGCGTTTGGGGTTTATTTTGGTAGAGTCAGAAAGTGTGGGTGTGTGTGTGTGTGTGTGTGTGTGTGTGTGTGTGTGTGTGTTAGATGCTATGTCCACCCAACTGAACTATTTCGAGCACTTACTGAGTACACCCGCCTAGCTGTCCCTCCCCCGTTACATCAAAAATTATGAGGGGCGATCATGCGAGATTTTCATTGGAAAACACTCAGTAGCTTTCTACTAAGTTTGTATTCGGTCTAAAGGTAAATTTACCCTCAGGAAGCGTTACTGTTGCGTCTTCATGTACCGAACTATGTATACTGTACTGTGCGATAAAAATGAAGAATGCACTCTAAGCAGTCTAGTTCTTAACAAAATAATGCTGGCGGAGTAAAACACGTCTAAGTGTAGAAGCTTGGCTCGCGAAGAACTCGCCCTTGATAAAAGAAAAGTGGTTGCGTGTTTCCAACTGTTCCGCAGGTGGGTCCGCGTAACGCTCATTGGCGTATTCCTCAATAGGAAAAATACACAAACCTTTGCGCATATAGTCTTAGGTGTAGATCCATAACGGTCGTTCAGGCTTCGCATTGGAGCAGCAGAAAGCCCCAAAGCCCCACATTTGCAGTTGAGTTGACTGCGGCCCTAGGACGCCACGGGAGTCCTTTGTAGTGTGTTGTGAGGAAATTTCTCACTCCCCTTCCGAATCTTTCTTGCGGCTGACATCTTTGTTCCGTTCATTTCTCTCTAAGGCCTCGAAAATGGCAAAGAGGACGAAGAAGGTACTCAGGACGGCACCCTGTTCCTTGTTTCCTCCCCTCAGCCTCATCCGTAGCAGTTTTGTGTAGAAGGCAGCGGCGTATTTGCAGCAGCTCCTGTAGGTCGTAAAGATCTCCATTTCTCTGGTTGATTTCTTCTGAGGGGGTTTTCTGTGCTCGACAGATTGCGGCATTGGAAGTGGTTTCCTTTAGCCCATTGCTCGGTACTGCCCCTGCCTCGGCGGCTGCCTGTTGGAGCGCCGACAGAGACATCGTTAGCTTTTATTATGAAAAAAAGCGTTCTCCGCGAATTCTGTGCCTATCTCGATGCCCTAAGCTGTGCCATCCTTGAATCCTGTGGAGGCAGATAGGCCTGAGTTGGGCTGGTGTGGGGCATGGCAATGGGCAGCCTTCATGTGAGGGGAAATGCAAATATATCATCTGCTTTGTAAAGGCAAATATGATGCGGGAAGGCAGGGGAGCTCAAATACGGCCCCACTCGCCAATAAAAACTTTGGATTGGGACCTAACCATACTTCTTTCGTATTGACGTGTTCCTATGCATTGTATTTGCTCGTGCTGTACACTTTCATCAAGCTGACGTATTGTGCCTGCTTTGCACACAAACGGCTCTCTCCAAGAGCCGGGAGGGGGCCCTTCGCTTAGTGTGAAATCCCCTCTCGGTTCCAACGGGGAGCGAAATAGAGGGGTTTCCTGTCTGCTGGCCCTTTTGAGGTCTCCCGTTTTTCTGTGGGAGTCCTCGTACAGTGCCTGTTATACAACTTGTTTTCCTTTGTATTGGTTACTAGCACTTTTGCTTTCAGAAGGACGTTCGTTGTGTTTTGAGGAACGGATTCGAGGCAGAATGACGCACAAATAAGGCGTTTCATCCCTCCCAAGACAGCGTATACCTGACGATTGCATGTGAACTGCATCGTTTATCATTTGGGTGTATGTGCAGGTCGGCGTCGTGGGGAAGTACGGCACGCGCTACGGTGCGTCCCTTAGGAAAGTTGTTAAGAAAATTGAGCTTCAGCAGCACGCCAAATATACGTGCCCCTTCTGCGGCAAGGTGAGCCTGGTGGCCCTAGCTTTCGCTTTACCACATAATCGCGTTTTTGCCTTTGTAATTCTTCTTTCATGACCCTTTCCCCTTCAGCCGGGTGCAAGGGCATTCGGGTGTACAAGCACTTTTTTCTGTAGTGAGCCCCATGCCCGAATACCCCTTTCCTGCTGGCTGGGCTGATTTGAACGCCACCGGTGCGTGCTCTTAGTCTGACAAAGTGATTTGGAATACGCGCAATTGCTTTGTATGTTGCTTGCTGCAGATGGGCGTGAGGAGGCAAGCTGTGGGGATTTGGCATTGCCGCGGCTGTTCGAAGACGATGACTGGTGGCGCCTGGACCCTGCAGACGGCGGCTGCTGCCACTGTTCGCTCCACTGTGGTACGCCTCAGGAAGCAGATGGGAGAGTCGAAGTGATTTTTTCACTTCTATTTCGGTGTAATTCAAAATAACAGTTCGGAGTGAGGTGATGCACTGTGTTCGATTTGTCGTCTCCTGTACTGCCACTTTTTTCCTTCCTCGGAACAAGGAGACCAGAAAGCAGTAACAGGAGGCGATGGAGACGAACACTTGATGGAGAGTGAAACCTGTTCATTTCTTTGCTTCTTATCTTCCAAGTGGAGAAACGCGGGCGGGGAGCAACATAAGTTTTGAAAATTAGGCACTTTATTGGAAAGCTAGCTACTGAGATTATTACTAGTATGGAGAATGGGCAAATCGCTAGTTGGCGTAAGATGAATTCTTGAAGTTGAAAGGGAAGCAGACAGGTACTAAGGGTGTGGGACTCGCTGAAGTCAAGAAATCACCGGGTGCTGCAGCAAGGACACATCAAAGGTTCTTTCAAGCTCGGAGTGTGTAATGAGTAGATACCTCCTGGATATGCAATGAGGGTTGTAGTGATCGGTTGTTCATTGTGTTCGGCGGTAGTTTTACGGGGTCCAGGTGGTTTGAGCAGGGCTGCTAGGATGCGCGCGCCCGGCCTGTGTACATGGGGTCCACTTGGTGTTAAAGCTACCATAGATACTCTCGTCTGTCGGATGTGTTGTTGGGAAAAGGGCACCTGCAGTTGAAGTGGAAGGCGTCTACGAAGATCTGTTAAGTGAACCCTCGGCTGAGGCACGCGTGCTTGTGGGACTGAAAAAAATTACAGAACTTGCTGTGGTAGCTATACCATGAATAAACAGGAATTATAGCATATTCATTGCAGTTGATAGCAGAAGAATTGCGCGAACCCGAAGCGTCCGTGCCTTGCAAGCCCTCTGCAGTTGACAGGGTTGCGGTGGCATGGTGTGTAAAGGAAGCCCAGTCGACTACCGCGCATAGTTTTACAAAATTCTTCTTAAATATGAATAATAGACTGCCTATAGTCAAAGACTAGGAGAAACAGCTCTTTTCTAGCATAAGGAACCACAGCCCTTGCTCCTCGATTCCCTATGCATAGCCATTTTCACAAGTACCACCTTCGTCTGCCTTCTGCCTGCCACCCCGTTTCCATCCTTTCGCAAACGGCAACATAAAAATCGTAATCTTGCATGCCGGAACATATAAGCTTGCCGATACCTTTCCATTTACCCGCTCGGTGCTCACAAGTAGTTCATCTTTTATTGTGCAGGCGAGTTGTCAACAAGAGGCAGCGTACCACGAGCAGGGGCCGGACTATTCTGCTGTCCAGATGCTTCATCTAGTAACCCAAAGAGGGGCAGCTGGGAGTTCGTAGCTCCCGCAGCCAAACGCTAACCACAGGGGCCTCTAGGGGCCCTCTCCAGTACTATCTCTTCCTTGCGTCAACTGTACATTTCTCCTTCCTTTGCTATCGTTCCCTTCTTGCGTGGTACTTTTGTCTGCGGAAACACGCGCCACGTTTCTTCATGCAGCCTATCCCCCTTGGCCCCCACTGTGCATCGGTTCTCTCCAATCACCCTCACCTTGCCTGTCTCTCCCTCAGCTGAGCACTTGCTGCTCTTTTATGATCTGTTGAGTCTACCGCTACTATCGGTCTCCAGCTTTTCCTCCTGGGGCACCCCAACTTAGGGGCAAAACGCAGGAAATCGAGGCGCTGCCGGCTACGTAACACAAGCGCTCGACAAGATGGTAATGCACAGAGTGCGAGCCACCTCTTATGTGCGGCGAACTCTATCCCAGCCGATGAACAAACGGAGGGCGACGGCAGCGTTGGCACCCCACGAAGAAGCAGGAGTTATTGGAGGAAGCACCGAGCTTCCAGAGGGAGGTAAGTCCAAGCTAAACTTGATAGGATTCTTGTTGCCATTGCTGGCTGCTGTTGGTGTTTTCACGCCCCCTTGTTCCACCTATGTGCTTGGGAGGCACTTTCTGGAGCTTTCCCACTTGGTGCATCTTATCGTATTTTGTCGTTTCCTCGTCGGACTCTCCTTCCCTGTTGCACGGTCTCCTTGCCTCTTCTAGCGCTCCCATCTCTCCATGTCAAGTGATTTCTCTCCGTCTGTGCGTTTCACGAGCTACTCCTCCCCATCTTCATTTATGTGCATCCTTAGTTTGTCCACAAACACACTCAACCCGCATCCTTCTTCTCATTCGCCCTCGCCAGAAGCCCATCAAAAGAAGGGCGAGACCTGACAGCACTTCACAACTTCCCAGCACTATTTCACTCCGCTTTGGTGGCTCTTGCTGCGTTTAATTCTGGCGCAGCAAATATCTTGGGAAGCATTGCTGCTCCTAACCGCCAGCTGCACTTGGGCCTTTTAGCGGACGGAGGAAGCAGCTCGCGGCTGAGGGAGATGGGAACCGGCACCATCGAGGAGGAAGGCACTGAAGGGGGCCTCTCTGATGCAGCCTTCTCCTTCACCTTTAAAGAAGACATTGCGCGGCTCAAGGAGATATGCTTTACAAAGTGAAATGGGGAGATGGAGAGCAACAGCAGATGATAGGCCTATCCCAGACTTCCTGTATTTTGTTTTGTTGCTCGTGCTGGCCGTTTTCCCTGTTTCGTTCGAGTCTTGTGATGGCCGCCCTATACTAAATGCAATTCAACTGGAGAGGACTCTCTGTTCCATTGCATGTGCCAATCACGGCTCCTCTTAGCAAAGGATTGCCGTTGCATATTTCGTGCCAACGTCTTTAGCTTTTTGGATTGTGTGTCTGGGTATTCATTGTGCTTACTCGCCTTCCCGATGCTTCTTTTTCCGTGTGTAGCTCGTTTTATGTCTTGTCTCCTCACCTTATGCCTCCTGCGCATTCCAGTTTCGTCCGCATGCCTCTTTAAAGGCCCGTCTCTCCATCAACACAGTCCCTTGCTGTCTTTTGCCTGCAACATACGATTGTCAGGACCCAGCTGCTGTTGTTTTTTGCTCCTCTTGGTTTGTGGAGTCAGTTGGGTGGCCTTCCAGTCATTTTCGTCTTCATCTTCAACTTTGCAGCTCTCATTCCTCTTTCTGCCCTCCTTGGGGCCTTCACTGAGGAACTTTCGCTCCATACGGGAGGTACGCGGGAAGAGAGCCAGTTTCCAGTTACGTAGGTAGACACCCCACGAACGAGTTGCTGAGACAGAAGGGCCATGAGAAGGATGCTGAGAGAAAGAAGCGAGCGGGAAAAGCGAGGGGGGAGGGGGGCAGAAGGCGAAAGGGAGAGAGGTCACTTCGAAGAAAAACCCTCGCGGCGGCTCCTTGCGCCTCACGCGATCGGCTAATGGGTGACTGCATATCTGTTCAGAAATAACAGGGGGTCTTCTGAATGCGACGTTTGGCAATGCCGTGGAGATGATCATGTCCGTCCAGGCACTCCGCATTGTGAGGCTTACAGCTGAGGGTGCAGGGTGTAGGCTTTAATCCACGTCCGCTCAGGCCAGTCAAGCTGCGCGACGCAACGCATACGGCTGATGCCCTGTAGAGGATTTCGATTAATGTTTCGCTGAGATGTACGGTTTTTATATGGTCCTCGTGGGGGGTTAATGTTTTAGTAATGTTTCTTGGTATAGTCTGAGTTTGCCTTGCCCCCTGTGCTTCTTGTGTCTACTTGCGTCTGCTGAATGTGTGCATGGTCATCGTGCACCTTCCACCCTTACGCGCAAGCGTGAAGAGTGTGCAGCAACGCAGTGCGGCATATCAGAGTAGATGCGAACAGAGGGATTGAAACAGTAATGGATGACGAAAGGGGCCATGTTTTGTAATTCCTTCATATTACGTGTGTTTCTTGTTCGTACCGTGCAAATCTTCTCGTTCACCAGTTGATCTTAACCTCATATACTTCGGTGCCTTTGCCTTGTTTTATTCCTGATTTCCGTGTGCTGTCTCGCTGTTTCGCGCCCATATGTAGGGTCTGCTTGAGGTGGTCCAGGGCACCCTCCTGGGATCGATCCTCTCAAACTTACTATTGGTCCTGGGAATGTCTTTCTTCGCTGGCGGTCTACGGCACTATGTTCAAAAATTTAATGAAAAAGGTATAAGGCGCTAGTTATGGAGGACGAAGGAAGAAAAGGGAGGGCAACAGAGTACATGGAGGGTCGTAGGTAGAAGTTGGAGGGAGAATAGGAGAGTGAACACAAAATAGAGACGCACTAGGGGGGGTCGGACCATTGTCTTATTTGCTCCGAAACGATGTAACTGGCCGAGCAGAGGGGTGTAATTTAAGTATGCCTCTTTGGTGATGGCGGTATGTGTGTGTGTGTGTGTGTGTCTGTGTGTCTGTGTCTGTGTGTGTATGTGTGTGTGTCTGTGTGTTTGTGTGTGTGTGTCTGTGTGTGTGTGTCTGCTTCCGTCAATTACCTCCGCTTAGGGGCTACATGCAGCGTTACTCTGCTGCTGCTTTCGTGTATGGGAATTGTCATTCCAACGGTGGCAGCGGTTGACAATGGGATGCACGGCACATATGATATCCTCATGGTAATTCGACGCATGGGTTGGAAGTGTGATGTGCAATTTGCATGCTGGAGACCGGTCGCTTGTTTGTCTGGCTGGCAATGGTCCGTGTCTTTCATTCGACCCTACTTATGCTGTTTGGATGCTGCGTTGTTTTAGATAAGTCGAATAACCGCCTTGCTGATAGGGCTAACCTACTGCCTCTTCCTCTTCTTCCAGCTCTATACTCACATAGGCTTGTTCAAGGATGACGCAGATGGTACACACGCCCAGTCTATACGCACTTTTCCTGCATGGTCACTTATTTTGAAGGGCCCAGATGCAGTAGAGGAGACGGGAGTGGGAAGGAAATGGATTAGAGCTGTTAATACTAGCAGCATGAACAGGCGTACCTAGGGTTTTAACAGGGAAAATGGAGGTGCAACCGTGCGTATTGTCCCTGGGGTGCCCGTTTCTTGATTTGAGGATGATTGGAAAGCTCCAAAACATATCTGAAAGCCTCTTCCTCTCGGTTCGAATTTCGATTATACCTGTTCACTTGATTTTTCTGCCCGGTTGATTCCTCCACAAGAGTATGATCGGCGTCCATAAACGTGCTTTTTCATTTGTGACACAAAGGCTGTAACACATTTGGCTTTGTGATTTACAGAGACAGAAGACTGGCCGATGATGTCCTGGGAAGGAGCAACAACGATGCTTTTTGTTGTCACTGTTCTGGTCGCTATACACTCAGGTTGGCTGCCGCGCCTGCCCCTCTGCCATACGCTTTTTGCTCTTTTCGCTCCTTCAATGTCTTACTGGATCGTGCTCGCTGAGTTCCCTGAGTGTGTGTATGGCCTTGCCGGTGTTCTGTATATCTTTTTCATCCTGATTCGTTATATCCTTACTTTGCTCTTTCTCGGTTCCCATACCATCTCCTGGTGTGTTATCTGTTCTAATTTGCTGTCTTTATTTTGTTGCTGTGCGTGGAATGAACAGAGTTTCTCGTTTCTTCCATTGAGACCGTCGTTGCCGATTACGGCCTCCCCGAGAGTTTCATTGGGGTTATTCTCCTCCCGATTGTTGGTGTGTATGCAATCCCATGTCTAATCCAAAAATCTGCGCAGTAGAACACATGCAGTTTTCCCTCTTGAGCTGCAAATGCAAGAAGTGTCCCAGCCCACCTGACTTATTTTTACTCGATGCCTAAGGCATCGTTCTCCCATCATTCCCCCTATTCTTCCGTAACACGACTGTGTACGTGCATGTCGCTTACTTCGTGCAATGCTGCCTGTATACCCGAGGTGCTACATCTGTTCAGGAAATGCTGCAGAGCATTTAACAGCAGTCACAGTGGCTATGAAGAACAAGGTCGATTTAGCCATGGGTGTGGCCGTGGGCTCTTCTGCTCAGGTTCGCCGTTCCCCTATTAGCAGCACAGAAAAACAACTAACGTGTAACTTTCACAGTTTACGATCACTGGGTATTGTTACTTGCTTGAAAGCTTTCACAAGTGAATGGCATCCTGTATGGCTAACGTCCCGCCTACCCCGATTCGTGGGCTGCTTCTGATTTGGCTTTGTCGTCTTTTGCCGCAGCAGGCGTATATCCATATGTACGCTGTGCGTCTGTTCCTGCAGATAGCCTTGTTCGTCTTCCCCTTCACGGTGTTAGTTGCCTGGGCAATGGGGCAGCCGTTGACGATGGCGGTGCAGCCTTTGAGTGCCGTCGTGATGCTTCTTTCTGTTTTGGTTGCGATGGGTACGCCCAGCAGAACAAACATCAAACGTTACGCCCCGACCACCGTTTTGCAGAGTGTTGACACCGAGGGCTCCCTCGTTTCGGCCGTAGTATTGCGTGGAGCTGTTGGAGACTTCAAGGGACCGATGCGCACGAATAATTTAAGAAAACGAGTTGCATTGCTGTACACCTTTCACAGCAAGAGCAGCAACAAGCCTCCGACATGGTGGGAAAGCAATCTAAAAGTGACACGTGTGGGTTGTCTGTGCTTACCCTGCTGTGTGGCTGCGTTTAGCGGTAGTGCAGGACGGGGAGAGCAACTGGCTGGAAGGCGTGATGCTTATTGCCGCCTATTTTATTATCTCCGTTGTCTTCTGGTAATTCGTTTGGCTTTTGCACGAGAACTCCTTACAAGTCAACAAGAAAACAGCTTTGCTGCATTGTGCCTTTTGAGCATCTGTGTCTTCTTCTGCTTCGGAGGCACATATAGACACTAAAAGGCTTCTCCTTTCAGTTCACCCCATGACGTACGATTTTAAGTGGCATCTTCCAGCGTATCCTGTTTCCGTGCACGTTTCGTTCCTCTTCCTTTCTTGCTTGAGTCCGTGTCAGCGGAATACCATTTCACGATGCATAAATCATTTTTCATGTGCACCAAACCCCTCCTCTGCCATGTGCGTTTCATTTCATTTTCCATGTCTGTAATGCTTTATGTGGTGGCTCTGCAGGTTTGATCGACCAGGAACCAAAGCCGCCGTAACAGTTCCCCCTTAAAATGCTAGAAATATGTTTGTTTTCCTTCTCCTTTGTTTTGTTTGTCTTTTTCGCTTTTCCGTTCTCTTCATATTCCTGATGTTCGATATTTGCGTTTTATTTCAAAGGATACGAACTGCCGGCAGCCTGATGATGGCGCCAGCTTTCTCCTTCCTCTCAGAGCAATTCGATACAAGGGAATAACTAGGCATTACGCGAAAAGATAAATATATGCAGAACAAGAAGCAGAAGGACATTGAGGGGCTAACAAACGAACCAGTTTACGTGTCAGCAGACACTTCGACAGGTAACAGAGGGGTGAGCGTGTTCAGCGATAGCCACTTGGAAGAACACGAGCAACTTTTGTTTACCTGCTTCTTTGGCAGCGAACCCATGAGAAATCTACACGCGAGATGAGATGCGTAAAGAAGGGATAGAACGGAAGGGCATTTAGCTTCCATTAGATGAAGCACGGTTTAAAAGGTCGAGTTGTCAGAACATCTGAAGCCAGTGAATAAGCACATTTCGTGTTAGGGTGTGGAATAAACATGGCCGGTGTGGTCATACGCAGGTGCGAAGTTCTCACACTACCTGCTAGTTGCTTAGTAATGATTCTAGGAATAACCTGCATTGTGTTGTGGCTGTGGCACTTCCACGCTTCTTCCAATGTTGAACTTTGCTACTGTAGTTTTGTGCCTAGAGGACGAATCAGGAATGAGGCCCTGAAGAGGATAGCACATATTTGGTGGTTGCGTCGCCACTAGCTTTGTAGCGGGCTAAGCAACACATTGAGCATATTCTAACCACTCGAGTCGTGCGTAGATATTGGTGAACTAGCTGGTCATGACTATTTTGTTTGCAGAGTGTCGTACGCTAGGTAAAAGAAAGCGCAATGATGTGTGCGTGTGCGCTAGATGCTGTGCAACTGGGTGTCAGTGCATTGCATACACGTTTCAGGAACTTTGAGGGGCGCGACGGGGGTGAATGGGAGACTATTCCGCAAGGCACTCATAACTTGTTGTTCGTACTGACTCTAGATTCAAGTGTATTCCTACAGAAGCTTTAGGTGGGGCGGTGCCAACTCTGTTTCTGCATTGTTGCAATCTCACGTTCGGCTGCAACTAGCGTCTGCCACTTAAATTAGCATTGTGAGCTCGCGGTGACAGGATACTGCAACTACAATAACATGTAATAGACCAGATTATCGTGTATCTCTTTCATTGCACACTATAGAAACACCTCAGCTACAACTGAAAGCCTCCGAACGAAGAAAAAGCATCCAGCATAAAATCCCGAAGGGCCCACGGACAGGTTCTTAATTTCCTACGTGTTGACCAGGCCGCAGTTGTTTGCAGCGGCGGGCGAAATGTGCAGGTTTTTCGCTTGTTGGAAAGCAAAACTTCTGCCGCATCGAGTTCGCTCGTATCTGGTGGCTACCTACTGTCTTCAGGTTGTTTAGTGATAGTACTATTAAGCACTTCGCACACGCGCTCGGCACGAAGGTGTCAGCTCCTCCAACGATGAAGTTGCCATTTACCGGATTTCTGACGGTAATGTTTAGGTGTTTATCAACAAAAAACGCCAAAATACAGATGGGAGCAGCGGCAGAGAAAATGACAGAAGTGGGGTTCGAACCCACGCCCTTTCGGACTGCGGCCTTAACGCAGCGCCTTAGACCACTCGGCCATCCTGCCAGTAGCTGGCCAGCGAAACAACGGTAGAACGCAATTGCTGAAAATCATTGCGAACTAGTCCTCGCTTTTAGTAAACGTCTCTACAAATCTAGATAAGAGGTAGTCACATTGCTATAATGAATTGTTCTGCTATTCAGCGCAGTGCACGGGAGCTGTGGGGCTCGCCACAACGGTGTTCCCTATTTGTCAGTTGTTTATAAGAATTGTAGCAGCGAACGTACACGTATTTCTAAGTATAACAAGTGATGCTAGGAAGCTATTGGTTTCTATACCAACCGAGTATAGATCCCTATTAGGAAGATGTGGCGCTACAAGCTTTCCTGAGACGCTCAGTACGGGGAATCCTTTGAAATAGCAACCACCAAGGATGACTTGAGGCTTTCTAATTGTGAATAAGTCTATACCATGCTGCATGCTCTCCTTTTGCTCTTTTCCCTGCTTGCAGAAGCACACTGCTCCTGTTCATGAGTCTCCACTCGGGGTACTGCGAGCGGATCAATAATAATGCCTCCCGATCCTTCTAGATGAAGGCCTGCGGCGTTATCCCAACAGTACACGTAATCCCTTCCCCGCTACTCCCAAGCCTTAAACCCTGTGCTCTAATTCCTTTGTCCTCTGGGGGCCCATCGTTTCCGTGGAGGACTCTGGAAGAAGCAAGAAGGAGGGCATTGCTTTCTTTCTGATGGTGTTAGAACTGCGGTGTCACATTTCTAATTCTATCTTCATAGCGTGTTTCAATGTATCTACGTCCTCAATTAAATAACAGCTGAATCGCCTCTAGCATCGCTGCCAAAAGTCGCTAGAGAGGTTACTCATCACAAGCAACAGCTCTGCCGGCTTTCGGGTGTAGGCGCACCCAGAGTTGGACACATTTGGGGACTTCAAGAGTGCCAATGCATCTGGTAGTCATTCCCTTGTCCGTCACACTCCCATAAATTTAGCTGACTCGTCGGACTGTCTGACACCACGTCTAGCCATAAAGAATGCCCCATCCCAGCCCAGCGCCGAAGCCTGCAGTTGATGGGAGACTGCGCGAGAAGATCCACTTGACTCTTGACCTTAGAGCGTCTGTCTGCTCAGGACTGAGCCGGGTGTTGCCTATGAAATCCAGTGGAGCTCTCAGGGCCTCCTCCGGATGGGGAAAAGAAACTGACAAGTACCCGTAATAGGATAATGCCTGAAGGCACGGTTGCACGACACCCCAGAAAAGAGACAGCAAGTGCAGTAAATGCAGCAAACAGAAGAATGTCGCAATAACAAGAACACCGTTATTTTAGACGCGACACAAACATAGTATATCAGCAGCCGCCGCAGCACAGGCAACGCACGAGCTCGGATAAGCTATGCACATAAAAAAGGAACTGCTATTTTAGGATATTCGAGACAAATAGACCAAGCAAAACATAAGTAGCTCCGATGTCTCGTGCGTTATCTTTTGGGTGCATCTTCCACTCCGCAGCCCTTACCTGCACCGCAAGGTACCCGGCGCCAATAATAAGCACCCCGACTTTTATGGCCCTTTTCGCTGCAATTCCCGCTGTGTAACCAAACAAGCATCCGGCTCCTGCTTCATCTACGAAGAGCAGCTCGCTGCCGAAAAACTGTTTGTTGAGCTGCATCCAGGACCGCAAAGATCGTACATGCATGCAAGAGCTGCAATAGCCCAGAATGCAAGAGCAAAATGACCGTAATGACCCACATAAATGGAAAAACCATTGGGCTCGTGAAGCCCCCAATGTCGTCCCCTGTGGGGAACCTCCTCCTGCATCAACAGAAAGATAAATACTGGGAGGAGTTACTCCAGGTGTAGATGGAGGGGTAAGAATCTCCCCTCTAGACATTTCTTGCGGTAAGCTGTCTACAATAAATCCGGGAACAGGGGGAGGGTGAGAAGTTGTCGAGCCAAGAGAGAGGGAGGGGAAGGCGTGTGTGAGCGTGTGAGCCTGGATTCTTTGGTCTGAACTCAAAAGAAAAATAAAACTCGCAGTATAAACGAGCGAGGGGGCAGTCCTGTCGGTTACATATGGCTTGAACTGTGCTGCGATGTACAGGCAACTGCTGCACGAAACGGGTCCTTTTCCTATCTTGCTGAGTTCCTTTTTCGACAATAGGGAAGAGAATGACAAAAAGAATGCCGCTGCGTATATTTCGGATGTTGCTATTGAATTACATAATTTTGAACCTACAGGTGCTTTCGGCCTTCAGGGCTTGCAGCTATGTTCTTCTAGCGTACCTCGGATGCTTGTCCACCTTCCAGTAGCATGCAATCCGCCTAATACAGCGAAACACTCCCATAAGTGTTCATTAAGAGCCGTTAATTAGATAAAGGCGCTCATTAACACATCTAGAAGAAACGGGGCAGAAAGACACAAGTAGCAAGACAACAAGCTTCCGCTGAATAACCCATGCAGCTGGCTGCCATGCAGCGCAACAGATTTGGCCAAATTAGAGTGTTCCTACCGCACAGTCTTTTCTAAAGCTACATGCATGTGCTGTGTATTTTTCATGCAAATAGGGCGCTTCACATAAGTCTGAGGCTTAACAACGGCCGTGCCCCTGAACAACAAATCATGGTTGTTTGTCTGTCTCTGCTGTAGGCAGATTGCACGGCAGCAACAAAGTCATTGCCTTCTAGCTGACGCTGACCGACTAAAGAGCCTAATTTGCATGGGGTGCTCACACTTTTTAGTGGCATCTACCCCTCTGATATAGCCTTCAGAGGCTCCGCAAAACGCATAATGAGTTCAGTACAGGTCCCAAACGACAGAAGCTATTAAATGGCTGGAACCGCGGTAACTGCACAGCTACTGGTACGTGCGCACCCCAGAAAACCCAGAATTACAAACAGGGGCTAACCTAAGAACAGTCTCGAACAAGGGCTGCGCAGTACTCGAACAATATCTACGATACTGGCATTATTTATTTATTGAACAAGAGACGATCTGAATAATTGGCTTGTGCCTTCGTATACTTTATTGATTGCATAGTACTGTAAGCTCAATACAACAAGTCGCAATGCGGTGCGCTGGTGCGCTATATGCTATGTACAGCTAGCTGTGAGTGCTGCAACTGCACACAGGGTACAGCTGCACGCAGCGTAGCTAATCCCCCTCCTGATGTCGGGAGAAAGGAGTGATTGGGAAAAGTCTTTCGCAAAACACTCAATAACTTTCTATCGAAACTTGTAGTAAGTCTCTAGTTAAGAGTGTACCCACACGCAGTCCTAAAAGGAGCATTGCATCAGCCCACATAGCAACGCTGCATATTCTACAAAAGAAGCAGGGCCTTGAGCCAAGTGCAATTTATGCTTCTATTTCCCTGTGTGCCAGTGACTTTCGCCATCTGTCTAGAAGCCTACTAATGTGCAGCGTCCCGCTCCTCAGACGCACCCCTCCTGCTTCCTTAGCCTTGCTGCTCTTCCCTACCGGTGCAAGCCCCCAACATGTTTCCTGACTGTCTGTCATTGCTTTCTATTCTGATCTTGGTCATTTATGAGAATACGGCTCGCCGCTTAATATCGTTCATTCTCCCTGTGCGTTTCTCCTCCCTCGGAGTCTGTGCACCGAGAGGAGATCCTCAACGAGTCTCGGTAGTGGTCCAGATGGAGATGTCTGCCTTCTGCTCGCAGTCGTTCGCTCCAAAGTTCTTCAATGTCAGCCTTGGACAAATCCACAGCCATTTAGATGCACGCAGACATGCACTTGCACAATGCACTCTACAAAGCAGCAGCAAGAAGCAATAAGAAAGCACAGAAGTGGCAGTTCTTGTGGCTGCTCCAGTAAAAATTGAACTTTTAAGCACGCCTTAACTCTTTACTCTTACTGTATTGGGAGGCTGGTCTTGTTCAGGATCCGGTTTATGCTTCGTGCCCTTTTTTGTTCTATACACCTGGGCTCCAACGGCCACCAGAATCGTCAGTAGCATGCTGAGCAGAATGAGCAACGACAGCACTGCGAATCCAGTCAGACCCAGTGTCATTCGAGTTTAGTGCGTTCCCCAAAATTGTAATTAGAAGAGGGTTTGGAGTATTCCTCGTGGTCGAGTCTATGGTCCTTTGAAGAAGGGCCATTTTGTAGCCTAGCTTGTTTGCTGCCTAACGAACCGGTCTTTGCCGCTGCAGCAAGCTCATCCTCATGAGAATAAGAAGCAGCCAAGAAGAGTGGGAGCACTTACATAGGGAGGCGGATGTGTGCCCATGACTCATCAGATAGTGCAGATTGTTCCTTGTGGATACACTCAAATATTCTCACCAGCGCGTCATCTATTAGCGACAAGCAGCAACCGTACCACTGCAAGTATAATTGCATGCATGCTCGAGACGTGTGGCTTCACCCAATCAACGCTAAAGCTTGTACTGACTTTGCATGCAGCACTGGCACGAAAAATCCAAGGCAGCCTGCTAGCAGGGGTGCCTGTGTCAGGGGGGTCGTTACAGAGTCTGGCAGGAGATCACCAGAGAGCGGAGCAAGATACCGCAGATATCCACAGAGGCCAAGTTTTCTGCAGCATTCTAGATAAGCAAGAGTCCAGCGCTTACCTGCGGCTGCGAGGGCAAGGAGCGAAGTATCACCCGTACGACGCAGAACGCCTACGGGCCCGATCTTGGAAACACAAGTTACAGAGAAGTGCAACAGATTGCTAGGAAACGGGAGATGGAAAATGTGGATGAGGCATGCAGTCAGGCCCCAGAGGCAGGCACAGGCAAAAACTATAAGGCACCAAATCAAACAAACATGCCACGAACGAGACATAGGACCCATCGGAAGCGTATAAAGTGAAAGCCACAAGGCTGAACTTCCAACACGACCAGTGGCTGTAGAAGCACCTGGCGCTGCAACAGCAGCACCAACCGCCTTAAAGTGGCAAATGCATTCTCTGGAAAGCAGAGCCCAGGCAGGCGCTTTTGTTTTACCTCCATCTCTAGAGGTAGCAGATGGATTGAGGGGCCGGAGAAGGCGTCGGGTCGTTCAATGGGAAGTAAGCTGAAGACCACGAGGGCTTTTTGCTGCAGCAGTAAAACGCGCAGCACCAACAGCACAAGAAGACGAAATAGCTGCCACCTTTAAACAGGCGAGTGGCATTTTCTCCGCTTCGTCTCACGCGCCTCTGTTTCTTCTTCTGGAAATCGGTCTTACCCGTGGGGAAGGGCCCACTGCAGCTGCGAAAGTAGAACTGTCGCTCAGGGGAACCCCTAAGAGTCGCTCTTTGGCAAACAAAAGCCGCATGGGCGCATTAATCACTCGAGGGAATTTGTGAAGTACTGCAGAAGACATGCAAAAGAACAGAAGCAGGGGGTCAAAGGAACGCGAGGTGTGCACAGCAATGCGGAAGAGGATGCAACCAAACCCTTCCTGCTGCTGTCTCCATTTTCCCCGCAACGTTTTCTCGCAAGTCCCCAGGTACTTTTTGCCAATAGGAGAATTAAGGCAGTCCAAACGAATGCAAAAGAGTCATACAGCAAGAAGTAACAACTGATAGAGACAGTAAGAGAGCTTGTTTCACACCAAAGCATGATTCCCATCCCTCTACAGGCAGTGGTGAGTGTCTGCTCACTGCTCCAAGTCTTCAGGTCGAGGTAAAGGACTTGGCCGTCTGCCAAAGAGACCGCTACTCGGCCGCTTTTACGCGGGTCCAAGGCGAAGGAGACAATGGGAAAGGAAGCCTGCAAACCCCTCAGCAGAAAACGAAAAGACGTGGGAAGAGCTGCTTCGCGTAGGTGACAGCCGTGCCAGACAGCGGAGGGCAGCGCTTGCGATGCAAAACCAACGCAGCCGACGTTTTTGATTGGGCATGACAGCAACACACGCGTTTAGCAGGACCAATGCCTGCATTATGCCCCTCTGCGGCAATACTAAAGCCCCAAGTTGAGCACTCACACCTATGCACGAGAGCTTCCCTGTAGCATGCGTAGCGAACGGGTTGATGTGGCCTATACACGTCCGCGCTGCACGAGCAACAAGACAAGCAGCTTCGCCGCCGTAAATAAATTCCCCCGTCACTTTTATTTCCTCGTATAGCGTGCCTGGGGTAACCCTGAGAAGCTTGGAACGTGAATTAAGCGCGATCATGCGACCCCTTTCGCCTGTCCGTAGAGACCTCACTCGCGAAGACAGTGAACCCTGCTGAATGCGCTAAATGCAAAATGCCTCCCTCTTCGTTGGTCACCCGCACGCTGGCCTTTAAGACCCCGCTCCGCGAAAAGACGCTGCAAGAAGTTCGCGACAAGCCACTGCTCATGCACTCTGAAGCACTAAGCCTACACAGCGGCAAGTTCATGCAAATTCCATCCGCTAGTGAGGCTGAGGACTGGAGAAGCCCTCAGCAGCAGAGCTTGGCGCCCTCGACGAGATTCAGTCGAGTGAGCTCCTCAGAATGACCAGTCGCTTCAGGAAAGGGGCTTACCTCACGACTCCGCTGCTACCTCCCACCAGCACCATTCTCTCTCCTTTTATTGTGGCAGCGCTGACGCAGTTGTGTCTCTGGCTGCCCCCTGGCGAGACCTGCATTTCACAGTTCCGCAAAATACAGCAGCAAGAAGGCCTTAGGAGGAAGTGCTCCGTGCAAACGGTTTAGGAAAGAACTGCCTCACAAAGTGCGCGCTAAGGACAGGCATCTATAGCCGAGCAAAGGGTAGAAGCAAGGGACGGAGTGACGGGCTTGTTCTTGCGGCTGACTCTAAAAGTTTCTGCCGGCGTGATGGACAGCCCCAGCGGTTCAATGAGTACGCGCCCTGGTGTTCGCGTCTCGGCAGCCGAACTTCCTCCTGCTCAGGGTGCATGCATCTCACTAAAGTCACAATGTAGAAGCCCCTACTGAGAAGAAATCTCCCAATCCCATCGCCACCCTGAGCTGACTTCCAGTGCCCGAGCCTAAATCGGCTCAGCAAATAAGGAAAACGAAGGCAGACGTCCATACGCGCAGGTATAAACACAGGAAGGGGTAAACATGGCTAGCAGACTCCCTACCTCGTGTAGGTGTCTCCGAAGACTCGGAGCGAGTGGCATTCAAAATATGCACTAAGGCATTGCCCGCTTCATCCGTCGTCAGCACTGCGAAGTCTGCAGATGTTCATACAGTCGGTCGATATTCCGATGTCTCCCATTTTCCTTTTTCGTTTCAAAGCAAATGAGCACGAGGCAGCACCGCCAATGGAGGTCGCTGCCACTTTCAAGGAAACACAGGGGTCGCACATTAACGAAAGAAACGCAAGAAAGAGAGCTCTCACCATCTCCTTTAGGAAATACCGTGAGGCTTATCACTGGGGCTGCGTGTGCGGTCCTGAAGAGGACGACATTTGAAGTGTCAGCTACATTGCGGACTTCCAACAAGCCATCGCGCGAGCAAACCACCACCAAAACAGAAGAGAGCGCTGCGTACAAAAGCAGCAGGGATGCGAAATCGCTTCTGCTGTTGCAGAGGCAGCGAGCTTCTCGGGGAATGGAGTTCAAATTGGCTAAAATAGAAGGCAACCAGTTGGAGGAAAGGGATAGAGCAGGTGCCTGCGTAGTGGATGTTGCTTGTGCTTACCCAACGAGAACAGCTCATCTCTGCGGCGAGTGAGCGAAACGAGTTCAACAAAGGAGGCCTTGGTGCCACCCTACAGCGAACGCCATTAGACAAGCAATAGAAGCAATAGCTGCAACATAACGCCTATGTAGGCTAGGTAAAAGGTGGCTGCAGCGTGCTGGGCAGCCTCATAGGTGGTTGTAAGAGTTTCTTGAAAGCAGCGAGGCTCGTGAGGGCGCCCGCTATGAGATCTTGAAGAAGGCAAGTGCTGCTGACATGAATCTGTCTCGCTTCAAAAAGCAGCTCCTGTGCATCTCCAAGTAAGGCACCGGAGGGCGGTGGACAGTAGGGTGCGCTGGTTTGTCCTTGTTGCCATATCTCCTGCGACTCTAGCTTTCTGCGCAAGGGACGCAATCTGGCATTGAGAAGCTAAGATCAGGGGGAAAAGGACTAGAAAAGAAGGAAACCAGGATTGGATTGGATATATATGCTTGCAACAAAGACACTGAACAGGAGAAACTTCCTAAATCGCTGCAGGGGTTCTTGTAGAATAAAAATCGCTGCAGGGGTTCTATTGGGTCCAATCACGCTCTCGATATGCGAAGAGAGGGGGCCGCGCAATGCCCCATTTTACTGTGTAGGCGGTGAGGCTCAAGAAGGTGAAGAAAGCAGACGGGGAGGGTGAAATCAAGGGAGTGCAGTAAGAGGCGGTTTGATAATGAAGGGAGCGTGCTTCCTGGAGGATTACATGGATACCCACCTGTGAAGGTCGTGGACAGTCTGCCGAAGGAGAAGCACTTGATCCGATAAGTCCTGAAGACTAGATGAAGTTTTTTTATTGGAGCTCGTTCCGAGCGGCACCCCTGGGACGTATGAGCAAGTCGGTGAGCCTCTGTCTAAGCTTATTATCCCCTCCCCCTGTGGTCGCGAACATGTTAGTTCCGACTGTATGCCTAGCCCCTCGGCCCTCTCCGCGAACTCGGAGGACGCACATAAGGCCAAAAATGCCCCAAAACGCAGGGAAAGGCCCATGTCTTTGCACTATATTGGTAAAAACACACATGCGCACAGTGGGGCACAGGAGGTGGCGTTCAAAATGCCATGATCTCACGATACATCAAATGGCCGGATCCCTTGCTTTCCTGATTTAAAAACGATACTCGATTGACATTAGCCAGAAGAATAATGTGAGCAAATTCTATTTTTTGCGTCTCGTCCATCGCCGCAACTCGGCTGGGTGCCTCTTCGCCGACGACGGCAGAGCCCCTGCCCACTGAGTGGTGACCAGCGGGTATCTCAATAGCCCGTCTTCTTGTGTATTAAGCCAGATCAGGAACACTTTCACTCCCTTAAACCCTATCCCTACCTCAATCGCCGTATTTCTTTTCAAGAGCAACATAGCATAGCGCTTCTTCTCTGCCCTCCGCTTGATTCTGTCGAGATCTAGGCTTCTTGGGGTTGCAGGCCCACTTGCCCTCAGCTGCCACATAATCCGCTTCGATTCACTGCTCACGCCATTAGGTTCGGACTGGATAGTGTTTGCGCTTGTGGTGGCAGCAATTGCCTCAATGGGAATACCACACAAAGCAGGAGGTGACGACACGCTTCCGTGGCGCAACCGTCGGCGGTGGTGACATAATAGTCCACTTGTGATTGTCTTTTGTTCAAGATAAGAAGGAAATAGCCATGAGAGTCACTTGCTTCTCGGCATTCCATCAACCACCATGGTTTCCTCCTTTTCCCCGCCATCCGCCGGCCAGCCTCCGTGCATCTTATCCACGATGCAACAGCACTACCCCCAACCTGCGTTTCTCTGCTTTCGTCGCACGCAGCACTGCCTTCCCCTCAATCTGCGGCACATCAATGCCCACTATTTCATTGAAAAGCCTTGGTTGTGCCGGCGCAATGGGTAAAATTCCCGCAACGCCAGTTGGATGCAGAGGAGTGAAATTCGTGGCGGAGAAGGGTCTCGTCATGGACTCCGCAGTTCGGAAGTTCTATGTGCCGGATTTTCCTAGAGACTCGAAGTTCAACAAGCTAAGTCACGATGACAAAGCGGCCTTTCGTGCCATTCTATCTGACCCCGACTCCCAGCTTCTGTGGGCAGACGTCTCCATCAAACGGAAGCCCTCGGAGGGGGCTGCACGCACAGGTGATCCTGCAAGCGTACAGAAGCCTGTCTCAGCCAAAGAATTGGCAGACATGACAGCGGTGGCGAACTACCTAACAGACTGGCTCGGGATATACACCCCGGAAGCGGTGGAGGGGTCAGCAGCTGTTGTGCTATTTCCCCGAACCACAGAGGAGTTGCAAAGGATACTGCAACACTGCTCTAAGCGCCAGCTGGCCGTATGCATTCAGAGCGGCAACACTGGCCTTGTTGGTGGCTCCGTGCCTGCGTACGATGAAGTCGTCCTCTCCCTCACAAAAATGAACAAAATCCTTTCATTCGATGCAGGTGATTCTTTATGAAGGCCTGTGTCTGCTTCCCTAGATGTAGCTACACATATCTTGTTCTTATTGTATCATGGAAGTACACACAAATATATACCTGTCCATCTGCCTATATACGTCAACCCCCTTGCCATTCACGGCCCCTCTTCCGTAGTGCACACGCTTTTACTTCTGCATTCCATCCGTGCGCTATTTTGTCTGTTGCAGAGACAGGCGTCCTTATTGCTGAAGCGGGCTGCCTGATTAGCGACATCGAGGTCTTTCTCAAAAGCTTTCCGGTAAATTTTCCATATGCAAAACGCTTTTCCCCTTGCGTAACCCCGCCCATGCAAGCTATGGACACACCGGTGGCACCTTCGGCCGAGGCCCCAAGTGCTGAAGTGGCTACGAAAGGGTCTGTAGCTGACGAAGAAGCTTTAGGGGACGAGGGAGGGTACAAAAGAGACCAGAGAGTGCGCTTTCCCACGTATATGTACCCCCTGGACCTTGCAAGCAAGGGGAGCTGTTGTTTGGGGGGCACTTTGGCGACAGCAGCTGGAGGGAACCGCTACTTGCGCTACGGAGGGGCTCACAGCCACGTACTGGGTTTAGAGGTGGTTACAGGGGATGGCAGAGTTATAGACCTCTTGAATACGTGCCTGAAGAATAACACGGGCCTGCATCTGCATCACCTGTTTATAGGCAGCGAAGGCGTCTTGGGGGTAGTTACGAAAGCGGTCATACAATGTGTTGCAACCCCCCGCAGCACAACCGTTAGCTTGCTTAAACTAAAGGGCCCGTTTGACCGGCTGCGCCTAGCGTGTCTTAGAGCAAAGGAGACGCTGAGTGACATTCTAAGTGCCCTGGAGTTCTTTGATGAAGCCTGTATGGCTCTATCGACAAAGGCCGCCAGGGTTCCCAACCCGTTCTCCCGAGCGCCACTAAACCTCCACCCAGGGAGCGCTACCCCTTATAGCTTTGCGGATGCTGGGAAAGGCGACGGTGGGTTCTACTTGCTCATGGAAACACAAGGGCAAAATGAAGAGGCAGATAGAGAGAGGGTTGAAGAATTTGTTACGCAGCTGCAGGAGGAAGGAATCATTGAAGACGCCGCTATGCCACAATCGGAAACACAACGAGCAGACACATGGAGGTAAATGTTGGGATTCAAAATCTACGCGACACATACACGGAGAGGCCTATGCACAGAATGCATGCAAATGAAACAGAGATTGCTGCCTAAATAGAGGGATGAAAACGTATTTTAGGACCTATAGTTCTGTGTACGTTGATTGATTAAAAGGGCTGGGAAGAAGAGACAGGAAGCGCCTTGTGTTGAGGCGACGGCTTGCGTTCATTCATGGATTAGGGCACACGTCGTGTGTGATCTATGCACTGTGTATAGGTTACGTGAGGAAATCGCGGTTGCGGCTTCTGCCAGCTGCTTGAAAGTCCTAAAGTTCGATGTATCCTTGGAAATATCTCGAATGTACAAACCCGTCGAGTTGCTGAATGCTTTAATGGCTCATGGGGCCATAGACGGTGATTTCCCCGCCCTTATAGCTAGAGGCGAGAAACTGCTGACGCAGCAAAGAAAGGGAAGCTATGGCGCACAGAGGGGGATACAGCACGAAGGAAGGAGCGGTACTAGGGCAGGAGGCGGAGAGGGAAGCGAAAATACGGCTTCTTTGCCCTGCACAGTGATTGGGTATGGCCACATTGGTGACGGAAACATCCACATTAATGTACTGGTTCAGGAGGGCGCGAAAGCAGAAGAATTGCGGAAAATACAGCAAGTCGCAGACAACCTTGTGTATAACTTTGTACAGCAGCACGGAGGGAGCATCAGCGCAGAACACGGAGTCGGCATCCTTAAGGCTTCGGCCATCCCCAAACTTAGAAGCCAAGCATTTATAAGCACCTTGAACAGACTCAAGCACGTCTTCGACCCCAAGGGCATACTTAATCCCTACAAAGGATGGAGGATGAACACACAGGGGCCCCAGAAGAAACATACAGAGCAGCGAGATCCTCACAAGCACGGAACGAAGGAGGTTTCGAGGACTAATGCACCAGAGGGGGCACCACTATTGTGAGCCAATTCGCAGACTCGGGGGGAGAGACCCCAGATCTGTATGAGCAACGCCATTGTGGCAGTCTCTCGCTTCAATACAGAGGAATGCCTCCAGTGCTAAGGGCCGTCCCACTTTTCTCATCCCAAGCTGCATTGGCGCTCGCCAGGGGCGTCCTCACAGAGTCTCTTTTCTGTTAGTTTCCAACGTGGTCTGCCTCGGCATGCCCCTTTGTGTGAGGCAATTAATGGTCTACATAGTACACTTCTCCCAAGATATAGAGTTATGAGGAGCATTGCTATTCACGCTTTCGGATGTCGGGGCAGACGCAAAAGGAGCTCAAGTATGACGCAGAAGCAACAAGGGATTCCGAGCAGAGAGGACATGATATAAAGGGAAAGGCAGAAAGAGGAGAGAGGGTAGCATAAGGGTACTCGAGACTGAAGAGAGAGGAGAGACTTAGGGGATTCCATACTACAGATGGTTAGATTTTAGGATACAATTTTTGAAAGATGGGGCCCTCTTCTTCCCCTTGGCATTACAGGAGTCTCCAAACATTAAAAGAAGGCTTTACACTATAGTCGTGGATATTGAGAGTCACCCACCAAGGGTTACAGTCGTAGAAAACCAAAAACAGGTAAAGAACACCAGATAATTAAAAGCAAAGGAATGCGATCCAAGTGCATAAATATTCTTTGTCAGTACAGCCGCTCAAAAAACGTATAGAGGCAGCCGCGGTCAAGAGCGTACAGGGCTTGGGGTGGCCTCAATAAAGCTTCATCTTCGGATATATTTATGGTGCGCCCCGCAAATTATAAGCTGTCTTATACTATAGGAAAAGGTGGCATCTGCTCCTTAAAGGGAGCTTTTTCTCCTGTCGTCCCCCGCATTGCCGTTGTGTAGCGCGTCTAGCTCCACTCCAGCAATTTCCACATCAGTTACACACAACTACAAATTAGTAAGAATTGAGTAATTAGCTTTATTGTTCGTGTATCTCCATTATTGAAGAGATCTGTCAGCACAATACGAGACGCACTGTTGTGAGTGTATGCTTGATGGTATAATCAACTAGCTATGAATGCTCCGAGTGCGTAGATGCTTACAGAGTGCAGCGACGTGCACCGTAATTGCCCCTTTCTCATGCCGAAAATTTACAGGGGCGCAAGTGTGCAGTGAAGAAGCCCTTTGCAAAACACTCGATTTTTAATTAATTCCTATTGTCATGCATCAGCCTGGAGGTAATCGTCGACCCATCAAGCAGCGCAGGGCGCGCCTGACTATTGAATCGAGGCAGTTAAGATAACCGCCCACAGAACAAATATTGCTGTTCGGTGCACCGAAATACACACACAGATGCGCACGCAGAGACCCACACGTAAAATTCTGCTATCCGTGGGTCCCGCAGAGAGATATATACGCGAACGTCTTGCAAAGAAAACTGTGAGCGGCGAATCGAATGGACATATTCAGCTGGAGAAAAGCTTCTCCCGAGGTGGTTTTGTCTCAAGTTACCATGTTGATAATAAAACCGACACCAGCTACACGTCACAGGAATTGGCGCAACCCACCGCGTCTGTTCCTTATATGAGATGAATCTGGTCGAGCTAAGAGTGTGTTTTCTTGCAGACAATCAAAGTCAAATAGGAGGACAAGGGGATGGAGACTTGGGTCTTGCAAAATGCTCGTCGGTCGGCTGCGCAGGGCAGATTGGGGGCCCCTCACTGGCTGGGGGCCCCCCTAGGGGCCCCCTATGCTCATGAAGTGTCTTTTCGGTAGATGTGTGTCCACATATCTGGTCTTTCGTGCCACCATGGTCTATTTTATATGTTTTAGGGCCTAATTCTTTTTTGATTTCCTCAGTCCCGGGTGTCGAGGCACGCGGTCACCCGAAGTCCTCTCGCACGCAGGTGTCTGTCCAGCATAGCTGCACCATCTGCAGGAACCTCCGATGCGTATTACGACTTTCGGGCTCCTAATGTCTGTAACGCCCTCCCGTACCCAATGCTTGTCCTTGCCTCTTTCCCACAGAATCTCCGACACGCCTATCTTATGCCCTCAGAAAACCTGAACCTATGAGGTCTGGGGGCCTGCACCCAAGCCTAAATCCGACGATCCCTTGAGCTCTTGAATTCATGCCGGTTCGTCGGAAGCTTGCCATACAGGCTCTACTGCCTCTTTTGCAGTTCTGAGTGTAGGGCTCTGGGCAGCCCTTACTCCAGAACCCCCTCCACGCAGTAGACGCGCAGGAAGTAGTCCTCCAATGAGCCGGCGTCACCCCCAACTGCCTCGGGAGCAGCAGCGACAGATCGAGGGGGCCACACGGCTGCAGCATCTAGAGGGCACCGTCTCCTCGCAGAACTCCTACAACCCCTGGCAGCCCATGCCCACCCCGTGGGCTCCTTCCACTCATCGGGCTGTCGCATACTACCCAAGACCACATGAATCTCCAGGTGCCTCTGAGCCAGAGAGCCCTCTGGAGGCTCTGGAGGCTCACAAAATCCTGGTTTCTCGGAGTCTCCCAAGTGTGCATAGCTCCATGAGCCGCAGTGGCGAATCTTGTCGCCGCCTGCCTTCGGTGCCCCTGTGGAGGCGCTTGCTGCCTTTATTGGGGGGCTTCATTGTATACGTGGTTCTGGGGTGTCTATACAGCTTGGGCTGTCTTGTTCCCCTTCTGAGCTCATACCTCAGATATAAGGGACAGCCAGATATGCGGCACTCCGCGCTAGGATGGCTCTTCACAGCAGGTAAAGCTTCCAGAATCAGCTACTCATACTTACACACACACATAGGGAGAGAGAGAGACACAAACACAGACATACACACACAGACATACACACACAGACACACACACAGACACACACACAGACACACACAGACATACGCCCTCATAATATATATATATATGTATATATATATGTATATATATATATGTATATATATGTGTATATATATATATGTATATATATATATATATATATATATATATATATACAATGCGATGCTCTAGGGGGTCGCGGCACCAGCCGCAACAGGCATACTCACCTTCACCTTGTCAGCTGTACCTAGCGACATGGGCTGGTCAAGAGCCGTTTTTTTGCGTGTTTGATCAGGTTTGGCATCCGTTTGCCTGTCGATGCCGTATGGCGCAAAACTGCACAAATCTATAGGCCTTGCTCGCTGCGCCTTTTGGGGGTGCCTCTGTATGGCACTCTCCTTCTTCCTCTCTGCGCCACTCTGCCATTCGTTGCTAGGCCTCACTTTCTCTTGCGGGGCTGGACCTGGCCTTGCACTTGGTCTTGCCGCGATATGTCCTATCTCAGCAGCATATCTGTATGCGAAGACTGACACTCCCTCTCTCTTTTAGCGCAGCTTGCTTGCGTTTGGCTTCGCTTTGCTGCTGCTGTCATTGCTGCTGCTGTCATTGCTCGTGCTGCTATTGCTCGTGCTGTTATTGTTGCTTTAATTGCTGCTGCTGCTGTCATTGCTCCTGCTGTTATTGCGGCTTTTATTGCTTCTGTTACTGCTGCTGCTTCTCTTGTGGCTGTGCCTGCGGCAGTGCCTCGACTGGTGTCGCTGCACAGGCGCATATTGTTGGCAGTTTGCTGCTTTCTTCTGCTGTTGCTACAGCTCATGGCCTGAGCACAAAGGCCTTGCGGCTGCCGTCGTGCTCTCCGGCCTCAGCGTGAGCCCCTTGCTCTTTTCTGCTCTCGAGGTAAAAGAACACCCCTATTAGGGTGACTGCTGCTGGAGCTACGCCTAGCAGAAAGCCCTTTCTGTCTCTCTCTGCCTCTCTCTATTTCTAGCCTCCCGCGTAGAAGCCTCACGACTCGAAATAACTCCATGCAGGCGGGCCAGCTGCGCCTGCTGGGTACGCAAGCATTGCAGAAACAGAAATCGCACGAGTAGGAGCAGCTGGAGCGAGCTCCCTTGCAAGGGCGGGGATGGAAGGGGCTGGAAATTTACATGCCTCAGCTGGCGAAGGACCCTTATCCTTGTGCCATTCTCTTTCCCAGTTGTGTGCTCGTAGGTAGCGATTGTAAATCCAGATCGGTTGCCCTTCACTTCGATCCCGTATCCGCTACACCCGTATGAGCGCTATCTGGAAGATCCTGAGGCGCTTGAACGTATCCCTCGCCTTTTCTGGTGCATGGGATGCTGCTGCCTGCTGCTTTCTCCTGCGGCCTTTCTTCTCAACAGCCCCCAGACAGTCGTCGCACGCTACGATTCACGTGCCAGCAGCAACAGCATGAGCAGCTTTGTGGCGCTCGCAGCCACCGCTGAGAACAAGCCCCCTTCGCCAGGAGACCCTCTCGAGCAACAGCAGCAGCATCCAGAGGGGCCGAGTCAGCCGAAACATCCGCATCGGAATCCTCTGTCTTCCTGCAGCAGTTGCAGCAAAGCGGAATCTGCAGGCGCGCGCAAGACACAGGAGGAGCTGCAACTGCTGCCAACGTACAAAAGTGGAAGCAGTACTGCAGGCCTCTTCAGCCTGTGGCTCGTGTACGTCCTGCTCGGCCTCTCCGTGCATCTCACCGGCATCTTTTGGGAGGCTACAGCAGCAGCACTGGTACATCCTGACTGCACTACGGATCCCGAAGCTGCAGCATTGGCTGCAGCAAGCCAGCAACAGCAGAAGCAGCAACAACAGCTAGGCACCCTAGAAGTTACCTCGATGGGGAATGGACTCATCGCTGCCGCAAATCTTCTCGGAAGAATCATGTGGGGGCTTCTTTCGGATGTGTGCAGCGCAGCCACTGCAGTGGTACGTCTGGTTTCAAGGGAACGGCGAATCAGCATGGCGGGGCCATATATATATATATATGTATCTATATATGTATATATAGCTATATATACATATATATATATACAGCACATAGACAATGCGTTACACAAGGCCCCTTGCCTCAAGGCAGCTTCGGCTACAGCCTGGCCTTAAGGGTTCCATCACGCAGCAAACATCTGTTTACCCATTCAGCTTAATGTAGAAACAAATACACCTGTACAAGAACACGGAGGGGCGGACAGACACATGCACAAACCACGTAGCGATGGTGATCTGGACCGCTTGTCTTGCGTGTTTGCGCTTGCCGCAGAAGGCACTCTGCTTTTCTCTGACGATCCTGTTCGGCTGCTGCACCGCTGCAGTGTACGGGCAGCTCCTGTCCGCGACTTTGTGGCTGTTTCTGTTCTATCTCTGCGTGGGGGGTCTCTCCGTCACACTACCACTGGTTAGTACGACGTCGAGTAGCGCTCAAGAGGATACATAGAAATGTCCATATACACATGTATATGTCTCTGTATATTCATATGTTGACATGCCGCATTCGCGGCAGGCCCCGTATGAAGTCATCCGCGTGTATTGCGTACTGTGTGTGAACAAAGAAAGAAGGGGTGCTGGAGGCCGAAAAAGAATCCAGTGCTTGGGGTGTGGGTTGCATGCAAATATTTGCCGAATGCATTCCTGCCTCCTTTTTTCTTCCCTTGTAGTTACATTCATGCCCCTCTCCTTGACTAGACGCAAAACAGAGGCACACGTTCTGGGCTCGTACGTGTATTGAGGCCAAAACGCAAGAAGCAAATCCACCCATCCTCTAAACGCGTTCGTAAGTAAGCAGCGTCCAGCACACCTCTGATGCATGTACGTGTGGTGTGCGTTCCGCAGGTTATTGCGGAAGTTGCCAATCCCGATGATTTCAGTTATCTCTACACGCTGGCCTACACTTCTAAACCCGCAAGTGCCTGCCTCTCCTCCCTCCTCCTGACCCTCCTCTACCCCAGCGTGGGCCTTAGTGGCTGCACAGCATTAGCAGCGATCTCTGCCTCCCTCGCCCTTCTCCTGTGCTCCTACGTCCCTAAAGGGATGTATAGGGGTATTGCGCTGTAGAGCCGCCTGCCCGAGGGGGATTTTGGCAGTGTCATTACACTCCCTTGCGAAGGCATCTTCGCCTGCAGTGACCACCTTCTTTGCAAGCACTGCGCCTGCTTTTGATACGTGTATTTCATCAGCCTAAATATCGGCATTACCCACGCGATGCAACTTTGTGTGGAAGGTCTCGAGGGATGGATATAGGCTGCTCGCGGTGCGAGAATCGGTGTAATTACTACGGGTTCCCTGCGTTCCAGCCTGCTGTACAGACACTGAAGGGCTGTCAGGGCTAGTGTTACGAATGAAATTGTTAAGCTTGCGCAAAGAATAGGGAGTTTGTATGGGTAAGAGAGGGAGAGGAAAGAAAGTAGCAATAAAATGAGAGGATACATAAGGCGACCCTGGGGCCGCCTAAATACCCCGATAGGCGACACAGTGCTTTGGACATGAACCTCTGAAACAAGAGTTTCAAGACAAATATTACAAGCAGGCAGTATTGCGCCACAAAAGCCGTACAGTTAGTAAGTAGCCACGCAGAGAAAGCCCGAAAGGGAAGAAAGACGAGTCTGTGTGTGCTTCGAGAGCGGTCAGGATACCTACCTACAGAGAGACCAATAAAAGGACAGAAAACAAAGAGACGGTGAGTGCAGCGCGTTTAGATTTCAGCCTGTTTGAACTAGCGTGCGACAAAACAAGCATTATAAAAGAACGTCAAAATCAATCATACACGGAGAGGACTACATGATCGATGCTGTAACCGGATCATTACTCAAGGAGACTTGCGGCTCCCGCCGGCTCTGGGAAGCGCCATAAATTTAAAGGTCTTTCAGGCCCCACCAGATGATGCTCCCGCGCATAGATCTCCATATAGGCCCAGAGAAGAGAGTGCTCTTCAGGGGCTAAGAGCGTCACTCCCTTGTGTGCAGAGAGTCTCAGCCTGCTTCGGTGTGCATTCACGAGGGGCCACAGAACTGCCGCCATCTCTTGCATTTCTTGCTCAGTGGGCCCCTTCATCTGGTAATGCAGTGTCATGTGGGCCCGCAGAGAGGGAAAGAGACCCCGAACAAGTTTGAGACAGAGAGGTAGAGCGAGTGGCGCCAAGCCGTTGTCACTGCCTACAGGAGCAAATGGTGGCATTGCTTGCAAGGCTGTGCGCAGCGACTCTGACCTCCCGGGAGCTGCGACTGTGTCTAACACAGCCCTCGCCATGAACTCTAAAACAATCGGAAGATCTTCCTCTGAAAGAACGGAATGTGCAAACGCATCCGCAACACCCGCGGCGAGCTCCCGCACCTCATCATCGCTCATGGGAGACAATCTAAACTTGGGGGCCATCAAATCATAAAAGAAGGCTACCTGTGCTCTGATGCTTTTTTCAATATGCTGCAGCTTCCCGTCTATTACTTCCAATCCCAGCAGCCCTGGCTGGGTAGTTATGTTCTTGGGCTTCAGGAGGCCCAAGGACTGCAGCTTTCTTTGAATTGCTACTTTCAGGGAAAACACAGGAAGAGCGCCATGCGGCAGCAAGCCATCCACCACCGATTGTGCAATATTGTCCTCTTCCTCTAGGATCACTTGCAGGTGCTCTGCGATTGCCGCCGAGAACTCGGAAGGTGAGAGCCTGCGCACCAAGGTGTTTTCGACTGTTAGACGCCTGTATAAAGCAGATATGTGATTTGCGGCGACCAAGCAAATGCGCCAGAGCTCGGGTTCTGTCGAGGAGAAAGCCGCACATGCGGAGAGAAGGCCTTCCTTTTCTCCGCTGTCTTTTGCGGCTGCCGAGGCAACTTGTTTCTCTGCCTCGCGTCCCACTGTGGTTCCTAGCTCTATTTCTTTCAAAAGGCTGCTGGTAAAGGCACTGGCGGTGCCAATGTGACTCGGCGAGGGAGCTGCGTCGGCTAGCTCCTGGAGGGACGGGCCGCTCCCCTCGGCGGCTGCAAACGCCAGGACAGAGAAAGCCTCCAGGAGGTGGCTGAGGCAGGAGTAACGATGCACAGAGAAAACAGAAAGAATTAATAGCAAAACAACACTCTTCATCTTGAGGTGTGGGGCCGCCCACCCGGAGCAGCTCCCCTTCCCCCCCCCCACTCCCACTCTGTTGCCCGATTGAAAGGCGCTGTGCTCAACTCACTACTAAAGCATGCCCAATCGGCCGAAGCAATCTCACATAAGCTTCGTAGAAGTCGGAACAGGATAGACAAGAACGGGTGAATTAGACGCTAAGGGACGAGGCCCTTCAGCTTTGTGGGGCTGCAACAGCCCCAGTCGCCTCTTCAAGCCGCCACAGGCTTCGTTTGCAAGAAAAAGCGCTTGTCTCCTTAGCTGTGGGTTGAACAAAAGGGGAACCGCCAGAAGAACCCAACGCTGCGCTTCACTATAATCCTAGGACATACACACGCAGACAGACCAAAAATACAAACCGGCATGCAGACAGTCAGACAGGTACGCAGAGCGGGGGATGAAACAAGTACTGAACTACGGGGCAAATACTTTTCTTTTGGTGGCTGTACCACACATCGGCGCCGTGCGGCTTTTGATGTACTCGGATACTACCTGCCGCCTTTTTCGTCATCTGTGCCTGCGAGATGGCTCCAATGGACGAAAAGGAAGCAGAAATTGAGGAAAAACCCCATAATAATAGGTGCCGAAAGACCCCTTAAGGACTCAGAAAGCGCATTATGTAGCGGGGCCAAGGATTGTGGAAGAATTGACTGTTGGAGTGCCTGCTCGTGTATCTTCTATGCATTGCAGAGTACTGCTAGCTCAGTACTGCAAGATGCAGTGTTGTGTTCGTGTGCGTTATATGTTGTTATGTGCAACTAGCTGTGGATGCACGGAGGGCTTAGAGGGTAGAGCTACGCGCACCCCAGTTTTCCTGCCCTCTTATCGGAATCTTGCGGGGCACGGGTAAGGGAAGGAAGGAGCCCCTTTGAAAGGACTTTCTTAGCTTGCCGTTGAGTGTTATAGAGTCTAGAGTAAAACCTTTCTTTGCGAAGACCTTAGATGGAGAGGTACACTTTGGGGTTTCCTCTACATGCCACCTGCTAGAGGGTAGAAGAGATCGTTAGATCACTAGGAAAAGAAATTATGCGGTTTGCCTTCCTGCGCACTAGAGCACTAGCTATGCCGCTTCTCTCCTCTTATCCAGGAACCTTGTGGATGAGAACGGCAGAGAAGGAGAAGAGGATGGAGGTATATGAGGGAAAGCACTCGAGAACTTTCGATTGAAATTGTATTGGGCTTTTGACTATGAAAGGTCTCCCTGTGAGAGCGAAGAAGAGGAAGCGATACACATTAGAGCCATTCGCAGAGAGGACACGTAGAATAACAGGTCATTGTAGACTGCCTCCTTTATGGCCCCACAGGGAGAGACCTTACTAGCTCCAGACTCGGTACGAAACAGAATTAAAGGCACGTTTGCCTCGACCCAAAAGCACGCTCCTGTTCGTAACTTCGCCTCTCAGGGTTTCGCCATGGGAGACAGGGGCATGAAAAGGGCGCCTCACAGAACGCCGTGAGGACTTTGACCATCAACAGCCAGCTCCACATAGCAACTAGCGCACAGGCATATAACATTGATTCGTTTAGTCTTAAGATGACTTCTCTCCAAGAATTAGTACCCATAAACACCGAAGCCAAATGGTGGGATGTTGACTTATTCTTAAGTAGGTGTATTTGGTCAAGTACAAAGTGCACATGTGTAGCTCTTAGCCCGTTGCAGAGAGGCTCAACGCCACGTAACAACAACGCAATAGCCTAGAGGGATGCGCAAAAACCTTAAAAAGACAGTAGCGAATCTACGAGATAAAACACACCTTGCGGGAGAAATGAAAAGCAAGTAGCGATAGAGTGTGTCGCTCGTTCTCCAGCCCTCCAAAGCCAGTCCTCCTTCAAAGCTCTTGAAATATCTAACGAAATTCCCTGAATGCCGAAAGTGCGCCCCTCTGAAGCAGACTGCAACAGTGGTCCGAGTCCACAGGAGCGCGCACGGGTTTAAGCGGGACATAAGATATATACCACTACACAACGCGAAATGCCCCTGACAACTTGAAAATGTCACCAAAGAGTATTTGCAGGCCCCATGGAAGCATACACCACGGTTCCCGAGGCATTCGCTAAGGTCGGTGTTTCCCAGGGGCCTTAAGCATGCTGTGCTGCTGCCCTTGGAATTGATGCAGAGACTGCCCCTCTAGAGCCCTGGCAGATGCTTCCGTGGGAAAGGGTGGGGTATGCCAGACAGCTCCTCTGCCTCCGGCTTTCGTATGTGGCAATGAGCACATATATATACTCATTAGTGGATTAGTGCGTTGTAGAGGGGTATGGCGCACAAGACAGATGTCCATTGCCTGACTCCCCTTTCAAATTCATGCGCTCTAAATGCCTCACTCTCCACGTGAAGCTCCCAACAACGTTTGATTTGACGTCGCCACACATGGGCTCAGACATTTCAAAGAAAGTGGCCCCTCTCCTAAGGGCTGGCCCCCACTGTGCGGGGACCCAGCTCGATGTCAAGCCAGCCATCTGAAGTGTCTGCTATGGCGTCTACCGCTTGGGGAGCAGCTTGTCTGTTTTCCGCTGCTACCGAAACTCCTGCTGCCACGTTGGCTGACGGTGTTCCAGGGCCAGCTCCGAAGGCTTCGCCTGCTGAATGCGCAGCGATAGCTTGTGCCGTAGCTGCTATGCTTGGTGCGTACGGCATCTCTATTGCGTCTGCCGTTGGTCTTCGCAGTGATCCCACCGGGGAAAGGTTGCAGTCGTTAGTGAGTCTGGTGCTGACGAGTCCCTGACCGGCTAAGACACTGTGAATGTCTTTTTTGCAGTTCGGGCAGGTTAGCCTCCTCTCAAACCACTGAAAGAGACAGGTACGGTGGAAGGCATGACGGCACTCGGGAAGACGGACTGCCGCGTCCCCCTCCTGCAACATCTCCTGGCAGATGCTGCAGCCCAGAAGGACCAAGGGACTACCCTGTTCTACGTTCTGGAAAAACGGCAAGACCCAACAGAGACATCGGCACACACACACACACATACAGGCACGATGAGAAGGCCAACGCGGGTAAAAGAATCCGGTGCAAGGGGAGGCGCGGCAAGGGCACAGCAAACGATACAGTTCATTCCGATACACAAATCAATGAGCTCTTTCAGCTCTGCACATTCGTTCACTGCTGGCTGTTTTCTAAGGTCTGTTCTGGTAGCCATTTCATGTGTATCCGCACCTCTACATTCATGCATGCCTTCACGAGCTCCATTTTGGCATTGTGCTCCTCCTGGAGAACCCGTCGAGCTTCTCGTGCAAGCCTTTGTTGGGTGTCATCCCACGCTTCTTGTGAAGGTACCAAGCTCCCGGTGGGAAGCCCGAAAGGGATGTTTCCCCATTGGAGGAGCATGAGGATCAGAAAGAAGCCGCAAGCAGCGAAGAGAAAAGCAATGGCAGCCAGCAGCCTTCTCTCACGCTCTAGATAGGTGGCGATCTCTGCCGTGGTCGAGAGTGGCAGAAGCGATTTCAGCTCATCCAGATCAGTGGGGAGGGGTGACACAGGCAAGTGAACGTAAAAGAGATTTACAATTAGCAAAATATCGCCAATGGCCCACAGCAAACATAACATGAACAGGGAATTCAGCAGCTGTGTAGGCCGCAGCAAACAGGAGCGCCGCGAGAAGCCAGCACCAGGAGAAGGAACTGAGGCAGGAGGCGAAGATGCCAACGCAGAAGAAGCTGTCAGCGAGCTCAAAGCATGCCGCCCAGCAGCAGAAGAAGGAGACGAAGAAGAAGTCAAGTGACCATGAGCCTCGATACACGAGGTTCCGCCGAGGAAGAAGCCAAGGGGAAAGAGACAAACAGCGCCGCAAAACATGCCGCACACAAACCAACTCGAGCTCCCTGCGCGAACACCACAACCCCACTCTCTATACCACAGACCCTACACCACAAGCCACAGCCGCCAACTCCCCCAACTCCAGACCCTAAACACGCACACCGACCCCCACACTACCACTCGTTACCTACTTCACCCCACATTCCAGGAAACTCTGATGCCTCGTCCACAATCTACGCAGACTATAGATGCAGCCCTAAGCCCCCGCTGACTGGAAAGCTACACGAAGAACCCCCCCTTTAAACGACAATCGCAACATTGGCTTCATCATATTGGAAATCCTGGAGAGCCGCTGCCCTGAAGTTTATAAGGCCTTAGACGGCGAACGCATGCTACGCCCACAACACAGTGTAAAGCCTGCTTTTTAGCTTCTTAAGTGCGCACGAAAAGCTGCATTGAAGCACGGATGTTCTGGTAATGCTTGCAAAAATGATTTTGTGTGACGCACCCCTATCATGCCAAACCCTGAACAATTTGTGACGCCTTCAAGGGCAAAGGGCATAGAGCATATATATATATACAGATATTCCCTTACCTGCGTATGGAGCTCTAAAGGTGTATGTGTTGGAAAGAATAATCTCGAGATGCAGCTGCCCCCCCAGAATCCACAGAAGCGAATGGCGAGGCCACAATATCACACCACAAGCCGCTGCGGGAAGCAGAGACAAATGGGCTCCCCAGTAGACCTAGCGCACAAAGCAGAGCAATTATTAGAGCGCGCACGAGTCTTTCGTCATGAGGCCAAAGCCCCCATCCGGTGACCTCCTCCAGAGGGGCCCTGATGGCTTACGCGTGACAGAAAGAAGACGAGGAAGATGAAGGGGGCAACCGTGGCTAAGGAAACGAGGGCTTTCAGCCTGGCTGCAGGCGAGCGCATGCATCTGCAGAAGGACCTCCTTCTAAGAGGCCAGTGGCAGCACCAACAGCCACTGGCCGTGGGGACAGTCAGCGCCTGAGAGAGGGCAGTGCCCGCAGGCAGCAGCAAGACAGGAAGCGAGACAACCTCAGGCCATAACAAGTGGCTCCCCAGAAGGGCTGGGAGGAGCAGCAACCCTGTCAACACCACACCGCTGTACCGCACCAACTCGATGCCCTCCGAGGCAACGAACGCGCGCTGAGAGGAGCGCAGACCGGAGGAAGTGCGAACAGGGGGCCCCGAGGAAGAGGCCCTCTGCGACGTCCTTCCTCTGGAGGAGCGCCACTGCTGCGCACGCACCAGTGGGGGCCCCCGGGGGCCCCCACTGAGAGAGGAGTTGCTGCTGGTGGCGGGTTGCTGGAGTGCGCTGGGGGGGGGCCCCGCTGCCGTTTCCAAGGAAGCCAGTGAGGTGCCTCGGGGAAGCGCTGCCACGGAAGCGGCGAATGCAGCAGGAGCTGCCATCCTAGGACGCAGCGGCGAGACTCTCAGTCCACGAGCCTCAGCACGAGCTGCACCAGGGGCAGCAGCTACCTTCTGTGGAAATGAAAGCTCATGCGGACAGGTCCCCTCACCCCATGCTCCGCGAAAAAGCCAGAAGGCAGCCGTTTCTGCTTGCCTCGGCGGGAGAGCACAGAGGGCCACAAGGCTTTGGCTGCTCCTCCCCTTTCAGAGAGGCTGCTCAGGGCAGGCCCGTGCAGGTCTTTACGCAGAATATGTGAGCACGGGGAATCAAACGCTCTATAAATGCACTGTCTGTTTGTTTTAAGGGTGTGGAGGCCCTAAGGGGAAGAGCTGGGGGGCCCTCATTAACAGAACCAGTGGCCCGCAACAGTGGACTCGATGCTGCGTTGCAACAGCAGGGGGTAGTTTGTCGTGTTGTGGTCCTTTGCGGATGCTGCTCTTGCTCATGTTGCTGTGGTTGGAGGAGCAAAACGAGTGACTGAAGAGGGTCAGAAATGGTTTGGAGGTGCCGCAGAGGAAGGCTACCGCAGACCATCGCCGTGGCTGCCCTGCTAGTACTGCTGTTGCTGCTGTGGCCGCTGTGCAGTTGGTCTACTTCGCGTAGACGTATGCTGCTGCTGCTGCTGTTGCTGCACGATATCGAGAGTAAGAACAAGAATCACACTCGATTCTTCACTGCTTTTCACGCAATAGTCGTCGAAAGAAGGCCGAATTCCAGGGGAGCAGTAGTTCAGTGGGTTCTCCCCTCGTTCGGGTCGCTGGTGCCCTCGCTGCATACTTCTGCTCCTCCTACTCGGCCCTTGAAGTACACACATCCGCCTTTGAATGGAACTCTTAAAGAAGTAAATCTAATTCCGAGAGATGCGTTGTGCCTCCCATAAACAAGCCCAAGGGGCACGAGTTTTCAGACAGATACACTCGTATGAATGACCAGTCCACATAATCCATCGCACCCTGCTGTCTAAACTGGCATCTTGCCCTTTGCAGACTACAAACAAGACCAAAAGCAGCCACTGCATTACTGATCCTATGAGGGGCCCTTCCTTGTGGGCGGCTTCTTATCACAGACGTACTGCGCGCATTTCGGAGTCACCCGAAAATAACTGCCGAAACCTTCTGGTCTCCGGACTATACACCCAAGAAGCTGAAACAAAAAGTCTGAAATTGCTGCTGTGTGAATAGCCTCCGCATGAAGCGACTAAGATTAGTCCGTCCGAACATCGGCCCTGACTCGAAGGCGCTCCAACGGTTCTCCCCGCTTGCAACCAGGCTATTTGGGTGTATATTTCTTTTAATCCCCTCTGCTTAGAACTAAAGACCTTAGACCCAAAGTCTGGCTAAGCTTCTGGCAGTTTTGCAAAACCTTGGCAAACGAAGTGCAGGGCGTGTTCAGCTGTGCTGCAATATCTGCCCAAGGCACTCCTGAAGTATGCGCACACTAGGGGTACACTGCACACGACGCTGCCGGTTCTACGACCCATGCTACTTGTACCTGCCCTGAAACTTTTTGATTCTCCTGCTGCTACTTTGTTGCCGCATGCAGACGCTCCTTGCGGTGGCCTAAGAGCTGTACTTTGGAACTTTCTTTCCCTTCACTAGTACAATTTAATTGAGATTTGATAAAAACTCGAGTACTTCATTTGGTTAGTCGTATATCTTGTCAATTGCAGAAAGTGTTCATTCAACAAAATAAGAAGCATTGTTGTGTACACGTGCGGTATATGTTGCTATATGCAACTAGCAGTAAATTCTCGGAGTGCATGAAGGCTGCATCAACGCACAAACTAGCTACCCCTCTCCCCTCACGTCGAAAGCCTAAGGCGAGCGGCGGGGGAAAGGGGAGCTCTTAAAAAATGACGCTTATTAACTTCCTGTGTTTAAGTTTTTTATTGGATTTGTGGCTTATTGTCTCGCAGTTGAGACTTTAGAGGGAGCGTTACAACTAGCGCTCTCATTCCTACATTGTGCGGAAATGCATTTATGAGCTTGGTAGTGTTGCGATGTATCATCAAATGGCGAGAACCGCGCGCGGTAAGCAGGGCGAAAGCGGAACGAATAAATATTTCTGCTGCCGTACAACAGAGCAGCGGGGTTCATGGACAGCCGGAACTCCCGAGCTCACATGCAAGACTGGTGCTGGTGCTGCTCTTTCAGCAGCTTCCTGCAACAGCGGAAGCTATAAACAAAATCCGGGAGCATATGCAGATGTAGAAATATACACATATACAAATTGCACAAAGGGGCTCAGGAGAGACTGCACGGTATTCCTCGTAAGTGTTTGTACAGTGAAATGCGCCCACACGACTGCAACCAACGACCGTACCTGAGGCGTGCGCAGACCTGGGGTGCATGCATGCATGCATGCATGCATGCCGATATGTCCCCACCGAGTATGCGCATCCATACACAATGGCTGGCTCAGGTGTCAATACATACACCTCGAGTGCGTGTGCATGCATGCGCCCCCTGAAGAGTCGCCGCAACTAGCCGCCCTTGGCGTTTGGCGGAATGCATCCACGAGCCCTCAATTCGAGTGGCATTACAAATATAGAAAAGGAGGGGAGTGCGAAAGCATGGACCTGAGGTGAACATTACGCAGCTTAGGTGTGTATGGGTGTCTGCAACCCTGAGATGGCTTGGGGTTCAACCACTGCACACTTCAGCTGCATAATGAACCGTTTACATACCTAGTAATCTGGTGAGGCGTGTTATTACGCCGCAAACCAATGCAAAATGAATAGATACTGCTGGAATGGATGGAAGCCCATTGCGAGGCGGATACACTTGCAGTAGTAAGACTTGCCAGCTCTTGCTGGCCTCGTTGCTGCTGCTGCTGCCTCAGCAGCACAACACAGCCACGCACAGGTTTGTCTGGGTGCCTAAGCAGAGCCGCACGGCTCCGTAGTAGCCGCAGTCATTATCATCCGTGGCTGATCCAACGCGCATTCGGGAGGTGTCTGCATCCGTAGTAGAGCTTGAGGTGAATGCGAGAGCTCTTGCTGAGTCTCTTGCTCCTGACACTGATCCCTTTCCTCCTGATCCTCCTGCACCCACAGAGAGTACCAGGGCGAACCAGCACCAGATGGATCCTGCTCTTGTTGCTGTTGCTGCTGCTTGTCCATTGACTCCTGCAGACCTTGCTGCTCGGATGTGTCAATGACATCTTCACCAGCCATGCTGCCCCTGCAGGTGCCGCTAAAAACAACAACAGAGGCGTCGGTGTCTAGAGCTCCCTTCTTCATTCGGATTGCAGCAGGTCCTTCACAGGGAGAGGCGGCTTTCCTTTTCATGCAGAGCAAAGCTTCTTCCTCCAGAGAGTCTCCTGATGCGTCCTCTCTCGCTACACTGGAAGCGGGAGTGCTGCTCTCTGTGCTCCCGCTGGATGCAGCGCCACGCGGCTCTGCAGAACGAGGCACAGCCACATCCTCAACATCAGCCTCATAAGCATCCGAAATTCCCAACAGCCGACTGCCATCCTCTGCCGGCTGCTGCTCCTGCTGCATACAGTGGCTTCTACCTGCCCCTTCGTTGGAGCACTCCTCCAGCTGCTTGGTTTGGTGCAGCTCTTGGAGCTCCCCTCCTTGGGAGTGCTGCTGAGGCTGCAGTGCGTCTTGAGCCTCCTTCTGAAAAACAGCCTGCTGTCTCTGCTCCAGCTTTTCCAACTTCATGTGCAACAGATCGGTACACCCGTGCTGCTGCTGCTGCTGCTGCTGCTGCTGCTGCTGCTGCTGCTGCTGCTGCATCCAAGACACTGCTACTTCACGCGCAGCAGCGGAACCTCCAAAGGGCTCGACTGGAAATGCGAAGATGAACTGTGCGCAGCTGGGAGGCCCTTGGCAGCCGTCTGCTTGCGAGCTGTTAGGCAAGGCTAGCCACGCCGCAAGCCGCTCCGAATAGACCAGTTCGCCTTCTGCCCCCTTGGTAGCAGCAGCAGAAGCAACGGCAACAGCAGCAGCGGCATCAGCTTGAACACCGTGCACGCTCGCCTCCGAACAGAGCAAAGCCGCCGTCCTCCTGCCGGAGCACACTGCAGGCTCTGTTCTATGAGCTGGCAGCGATGGCTGCTGCTCCTGCTGCAGTTGGTGCTTCCCGCCAGTCGCCTCGCTGTCGCTGCGGAGCCGCTGCAAGGCACCACAGCGATAGCAGCGGAGGCAGCTTGAATCGAATGAAGCTGCTCCTGCTGTGCTGTCGGCAGGCATCAGTTGCTGCTCCTTTTCCTCGCCCCCGCAGTTCGCCGCGTCTTCTCCCCCAGCAGCAAACACGTGGCTGCCATGACCAGTTCCTCGCTCGGCTGCCTTGAGAGTGACGCCTGCTGCTGGATCGTTCGCGCTCTCAGCCTCTGAGGCTGAGTCTCCTGCCTCCAGCAGCAAGGAGGCAACACCGTTGCTGCTGCTGCCGTTGCTGCTGCCGACAGGCGTTGCATCATCCCAAGGAGTTCTTGCTCCTTCCGGGGAGGCGGCGTATGCAGAAGACACTCCAAAGAGGTGCATGTGCTGCCGTGTTACGAGAGGCTGCTGCTGCTGCTGCTGCAATGGTGGCAGCCCTTGGGAGTGGCGAACCATCGGCAGCATCTGTTGCTGCTGCTGCTGCTGCTGCTGCTGCACGCAGCTGTCGGGAGCCAGGTACCTGTGCTGCAGCTGCTGGGGTGTTGCATGCGCTATCGGAAGAGTGGACACCCCCAAGTGGCAGTGCTGCGGTTGCTGCTGGTCGTGCTGCAGCAGCACGTGCGGATGCATCTGCGGGGGGTACTCATGCTGCAGCAGCCTCCGTTGCTGCTGCTGGCACGGCGGCTGCTGCTGCTGCCGTTCTTGCTGCAGCATTACAAGGTGGTGCTGATGCTGCTGGGCATGGGGGAACAACCTTTGCTCCTGCACGAGCAAATGCCCCTTTTGCTGCTGCTGCTGCTGCTGCTCAACGGCTCCCAATAGGTCGACAGCAGCAGCATCGGCTTGCGCAGCCGTCGAAGCCGACGGCGTTGCGGCTGCAGCGCTCAGCAACCTCTGAGGGGAGAAAGAGCTCCCCAAGGGGGCGGAAACAGCGACAGTGGCAGGTGCTGCTGCGACGGGAGAGCAGCATCCGTGAGAATCCCTAGAAAATCCAAAGGCCAATTCCTGCTGCTGTTGCTGCGGCAGAGGGGAAGACTCGTAGCAGTGCTTTCGCAGCTGCCTTCTATCCCCCGCGCAGTAGCCATGCCAGGGTGTGCTGTGCATGGGAGTCGCTGCTGCTGCTGCAGAAGCCGCTGCGGCTGCTGCTGCCATCTGGAGAGCCCTATAGGGGCCGTACTTTTTGCAGGAGAAGGATTTATTGACTTTTGTCTCTTGAGTCTTTACGAGAGCTCTGAAGGCGTTCTTGTGCTCGTCGTATCGAACGCCAAGCGGCAAGGAAAAAAGCAGCGACGGGGGAGGCAAGCACATCGATGGTCCCCGAACTTTTTGCTGCAGCTGCTGCTGCAGCTGCTGCTGCTGCTGCTGCTGCTGCTGCTGCTGCTGAGTGCCAGAGTGAAGAGGTTCTGGCACGAAAAACGCACTTTGTGCTCCTGGCATATGGGCGGCACCGCTTGCAGCTGCTCCCCCATTCCACCGACTGGCATGTCCATGCCACCTCTGTTGCTGCTGCGGAGGCTGTGGGTGCGGAGTGGGGTTGCTGTGTTGTGGCTGCGTTGCGGAGGACGGTGCATGCAGCAAGTGGAGGGGCTGCTGCTGCTGTTGCGGCTGCTGCTGCGGACCGCAGAGTCTGCTGGGAGCTTCCGCGGGGGGGGGAGATGACTGCAGGAGCCAAGGAATGCTGAGCTGCGGCTGCCTGTGGAGGCAGTGCATGTCGCCTGGGGTTGGATGACGCGGAGATGCTGCTGCTGCTCCCTTAGGCGGATCGTCCGGCAAGGCACACTCCCCCACAACATAGCTCAACGGCTGCTGCTGCTGCTGGCTTACAGCGTACGCGTGATGGAATTGCTGCTGCTGCTGTTGCTGCAGATCATACTGCTGCTGTCGCTGCTGCTGCTGTTGCAGAGGCTGCTCGTCGCCGGATCTAAATTTGTCTAGTGTCAAGGGAGTCATCGCATCGCTGCTGCTTAAGCAGCAGCCTGCACTCAAAGGGTCGTGCTGCTGCTGTTGTCGCTGCCGTTCCTCTCGCTGCTCCTCTTCGGGAGCCGCGACGCCTTCTTCGATCAATGCGAAGGCTGGCGTCTCACCCTGAGAATCTGCTGCCTCCCCAACAACAGCAGCAACCCGCTTGGGCCCTGCCTCTGCTGCTGCTGAGCATACTGATGTCACGCCTGCATCGCCAGCGGTGAGGCTGCCTGCAGCAGCTGCACCGGCGCTGTCTGCAGTGTAAGTCCACTCCCAGGAAGAAGCCACAGAAGAGCCGCTGCATGAACCGTTTACAGCGGCAGCCCCTTGCTGTTGCCTCCGCTGCTGCTGTTGCTGCATTTCATTCTGTGATGGAATGTGGTGAGGGTGCACTGCAACATTTGGTGGTTGGAGGACGCGCTGCTGCTGTTGCTGTTGCTGCACACATGTGTGCAGACTTGGGATCTGCTGATGCTGATGCTGCGACTGCTGCTGCTGCTCTTGTTGTTGGTCTATCTTGCTGTTGCTGGTGGTACTCAGATCGCTGCTGCCGCTGCTGCTACCACAGTCGCTGCCTTCCTCCGTTGTGCAGCAAAGCGTCTTGCTGCTGCTGCAGCTACTGCAGAGGCGCCCACTGCAGGCTGGTTGCTGCTCTTGCTGCTCTGCCACAGATCCTGAACATTTCCACACACCGCGCATCTAGAAGGGGCGTAGCTGCTCGTCTGCGCCTACAATCGTCTTCCTTTCATTGCTCCCATGGGTGCTGCAGCTCCCAACGGTGCTTCTTCGCTCATGGATGCTTCTGGTGATGTTGCCACGTATGTATCTATCAAGTACAGACGGAGTTGCTGTTTTACCTCTGCCGGTGCAGGTGTTGCTGCTGCGCGCGACTCACCGAGACAGTAGTCTAGACAGTTCAATGGATTGTTGGATTTGGTATCTAGGACCAATAAGGACCTGCTAAGGCACAACACCCAATGCTGCACGGCGAAGATGCCCGCTTATCTACCCTGATGGAGCAAACAACGACCAGCGGTGTCTGCCTAGACACAGCTGCCTTGTCTTCTCTGCACCTCCTTACTCCGTCCACCTCTGGCTGTCTGTCTGTCTGTACCGGGGGATATACATATATATATATATGCTTGCTAGCCGTGTAGCCTTACAAAAGGGGGGAAGCAGAAGTGCCTCCTCTTGGAGCATCAGCCGCTTGCGGAGTGTGCAAATCTTTTGAAGGATGAAGAGGAGGTCCGCGTAGCTGATCTTGGTGTTTTTGGTGCTGTTGCGGATGCAGTGAGGTACAATCAGTTTGAGTACTGCTGCATTCAGCTGCTGTTGCTGCTGCTGGCGCCGCTAAAGTTGTGGGTAGTGATGATGCCGACGTTGCAGCTTCAAGCGAGATCAGCGGGGGGGAGCGATGTCTCTGCGGGGAAGGGGTGGTGGAATATTTAGGGCTGCTGGAAATGCAGCTTGGAATCATTATCTCCCTAAACCGTATTCCCTAATTTGTGAACTCTGAACCCTAAAGCGCCAAGATGACGGAGCTTCTTATCCTACACCCGTAACCCTAACCCTACAGACGACGTAAATCAGTGGCTTCCTGCCGATTTGTGCCCTTTCCACCTATGCAAAATCATAAAACCAAAGCTACACAGCGAGATTACCAGAAGCAGGCTCACAGGCGCGAGTAAGTGCAGGACCACTTCAAGTCGCGCGCGCGGCCGTGTAGTGGCTGGGTGACACGTGTGCGTTCGGAAATCAGGGCCAGACGGCTAAATATGAGCCACCAATTCGATATATATCATTGTGCCCCCCGTTTACGCCGTGGAACGGGACGGAAGACAGGCAACAAGCGAAAGCCGCAGGGATAGGGCGTGTAGGGTGGACCCTGGGAGAGATGTGCAAATCCGCGAGCACGGGCGCGGCGACAGAGGCAAAACACTGGTTGCCTTCGCCCATTTACCAGGAAATTCGAGAACCCGCAACCCTAGAAACCCTAGAAACATCAGCCCCAATTGAATCTCCTGTGCAGACGTTCAACTATGGGCCGGCATGCTGTGCTGCGACGGGGTCTGCTGCCGCCGTGTATGGCTCGTGCCATCCTCCTCCGGGTTGAGCTGTTTTATTCCGATAAACAATGGCGCCTATATGGGTTCGCCTTTTCTGCAGCATAAATGTCCTACTGCGTCTGCCCTAAGACCTTGCCTAATGCGGACCTTAGGCAAAGTCGTGTAACTTCGGATGCGCTGCTTGAGACGCCATGCTGCCGTGGCTGGCTCTTATCCGTAAAGCGAAATCCACGAAAATCGTTATCCATTTGTTATATGTCGGCCGGTTGTTTCTTTTGTTCTCCGAACGGCAGGCATGAATAGGCCGCATTCTCATCAATGTGGGGCTATCGCCGGCAACTGCAGCAGCAGTCGTCCGACAAAGGGATCCACACAGTGCACCATTGCTTAGACTATTGCATTGCCCTTCATCTACAGCCCATAAATTATTGAATATGAAGTGCTATGTAATGCATGCCAGATCATTCAAAACTACGGCGTTACGCCCGTGCATCCCGTGCTATCGTGCACACGGCCTGGAGGCGTTTAACGGGCTCCTACTTCTGCTGACACACGACAGTGCGACTCAGAATGTCTGCAGCACTTGAGGGACTCTTAAAAATTTTAATGAAGTACATTTGAGACCGCACAAAACACCATGGCCTCGTTCTATGAAAGATGCACCGTTGGACAAAAGTGTGCGATCAGCATCCACAGCGAGGCGCCGGGGACTCTCTGCTATGCCACCGGTTTTCTACGGTCACTCGTTTCATTGCTCTGTATCATTAAATACTCCGCCATACACTCCGTGCAAAAAATTCAAAAGATAGGAACTCACACCAAATAACAGCAGGGTATTTGTGTGCTAGAGGAGGTGAGATATGGAACCGTGGAGAAGCCTCACGCTGGGGTCCCCCCAGGAAATAAAACACATTGAAAATTCACTGTATAATCTGAGTAGTAATTCTCATGCATTGCTTAAATGGGCTACTTCTGAGACCTCCGCTTCGCCGTGAGGTCGCATGATCTTCTCGGGCTGCAGTAACGGGGAGCAGCTGACGTTCAGGCGGTAGAACTGTCCTAAAATGCCGAGCACACTTTTCACACAGTGAACAGGAACGGTTCATTTCCCTGTATAGAAGAAATTTGGTCAAAGGGAGAACGAATGGGGGATACAACATCCATTTCTACAATCGCCTCTTGTTCACAACAAATGCCTACTGACGTTTGCTTAGACATTGTCGCCTGCTACCGCAGAGCGCGCTACGCGCCAGAGCGATGGACTACACAAGGAAGTTAGTATTTCTGAGTTATGCGCAAACACTGCTTCATTCCCTGCGAGACAAGCAAAGAGAATCATCATCCACTACAACTGTGTGTGTCTGTGCATGCATGTGTACTTGTTTGTGATTGTCTTCATATGCGTAAACAAGCAAACAAGGCGTGCAAGCAGTGTTGTTTTATACATGATGCTCTGTCTTCTCATCTGATGCATTCGCATTGCGTCAAGTGGGGTGCTAGAGTTTCTGGTGTTTGCGGGATATCGAAGCCTGTCAGTAGCAGTGCTAGCCCACCTCTTTTGCGGCGAAGCCTAATAGGGCCAGCTTGAATCTGCCTGCTACTTGTACATTTGGAAGGAGTGCGAGGTGAACTGTCTCCCTACGGAGACGCTTTACCTCGCACACTATACAAGCTTCATAAAGAGTTGTATAGTGTTAGTCCAAAAAGCCCCCTCCCTCCCTTGCCTGTGTCCCTCGGAGTCTCCACATAAAAGGATAAGGACCATCAGGGTGCGCGTAGTTGGACCGTCCAAGCACTAGAGCGTTCACAACCATATACACATAGCATTTTGTGCCGACGCAAGCAACAATGCATCTTTTTGCATCGTGCCAACGATACACTGTGATAAATACGGTATACAAGCAGACACCCAAAAAAGCAAATTGCTTTCGAAGTCTTGATCAAATGGTAATCCTCTCGTACAAAGTCCCCAAGTGTAACTTAGCGCGCTACAGACACGTATGTAGTAGCTCGCACAGTAAATCAATTCCACGTGTAATTCACCCCGCTGCATATTCCTTCGGCAATTCAAAATGC